ATTATTGTCGATACACACACACACACACACACACACACACACACGTCTGAACCCTCTAGGGAAAAAAACTTTTCAAAGTTAGGAAATGAAGTTAGAATGATGCAAGATTAAAAGTGTTTCCCTATATTGAGAATCCCAGCAGTCAACTCTGAACAACACATTTCAAAGCCTTTCCTATAAAGACAAGATGGCAGCAACTGGAACAGATATAAAAAAAATCTTCCCAGGTCAAGGTGTAAGATTAACTGCTGGACAGAAGGATATGGTTTACTCCCTGGGACTTTCAACTCTGTATAGTATTGATTCGCTGGGACAACAAAGTCTGTACATAGACAATCAAGAACCTCTTCTTGTTCTGTTTTTCCAGGACACAGACACGCAAGATCATTAATACGTTGGATATAACATTAGCCAGAATCAAATTACGAAGGTTATTCACAATCCTCATGCTTCTGGGCAAGAGCTGGTCACACACTGGGGTCAGGAAGAAATTCCTCCCAACATGTTATAGCACTGCACAGTGAGGTGCATTACCAAGAAATTTACAGCTTCCTCTTTAGCAGTTGGTATTGGCTGCAGGCAGACACAGGATATCAGTCTAGATGTAGCCTTGGTCTATTCTACTCTGGCAATTCCTAGATTGTTTTTGAGACTCGCAAAAGACTCCATTTCCCTCCCCCACTATATCCAACACCTACGCCCGAGAGAAGAGAAGCAGCCTTACTGGTGGTGGTGTCCTTAACAAAAAGGCTGATCATGTGACTCAAAGGCGGTCTCCTCTTGGTGATGGAAGAGAGTTTTCCCAGTACTGTCTCCTTCACCATCTCGTCAGTCGGCAGGCGGTACAAAGCCAAGTGGTTCTCCTGCTTGAAAAGCTCTTTGGCTCCGGGTGTGAAACCTGAAACATGAATGTAAAGGGGAGAAAGATTAAACACAACCCAAAGCAAAATGGAGGAGATCTCACTTTGCTGCTCCACCCCGCCCACTAGCTGCAGTCATTCTGATACCTTCCCAGCAGCAGCATCCACCAGAAACCAAGCCAGTGACATTCTGTAGCCCCAGTATATGCTAACAGCCAAGCAACAGAGGTTAGACTTACCTAGCTGACTTGCCTGCGTTCTCACTATGTGCGTACACTAAAACGCTTTGAGATCTACTGATGAGATGTGCTATATAAGAGCCGGATGATATTATTAGTGGAGTCCTTAGCACTCCTGATTCATTTAAGAGAAGCGGAGCAATGCAGAAGAACAAGAGGTCAGAAACGCTAAATGTTAATCCTGGCTCTGCCACTGATTCCTTGCGTGACCTTGGACAAGTCATTTAACTCTCCTGTGCCTCACTCTTAAATGGGGACATTGATACTTATCTACCTCACAAGGGTGGGATGCAGATTATGAAGTACTGAAGATGTGAAGTGCTACATATTATTTACGGCTAACCATTACCAGTTTCTCTGTAATACACAGAAGCCTAAACAGTAACACTGACAAAGATACCAGAAGAGCAATTCGTCCATTCTTATTGGTCATTCTTTATCCACTGTGGGGCAAAAAGCTTCTTCATCAGCACTGCTGCTGTCTGTAACACTGAAGGATTTGAACTAGAACTTTACAAAATTTAGCCTGTGTTGGCTGGAAAAACTCTTAGCCATGAATGTCACTCATTGACTGTAGCATCGTGTCTCAACCTGTCAGCGGTGAACTCTCCAATGACACTGGCAACAAGTCTGATGTCAAACCTCTGAGCATTGATCCAAAGAGAGATCAGAGTCAGATCTGCACTCCAGCTTTCCAACTCAAATTCAAAATGATCTGGACAAACTGGAGAAATGGTCCGAGTTAAACAGGATGAAGTTTAACAAAGACAAATGCAAAGTGCTCCACTTAGGAAGAAAAAAATCAGTTTCACACATACAGAATGGGAAGAGACTGTCTAGGAAGGAGTACGGCAGAAAGGGATCTAGGGGTTATAGTGAACCACAAGCTAAATATGAGTCAACAGCGTGATGCTGTTGCAAAAAAAGCAAACATGATTCTGGGATGTATTAACAGGTGTGTTGTGAGCCTGTGACCAGGGCGGACCCGGAGAACAGAAGGGTGTGCTGTCTACCGGGCGCAAGGATACGCGATGTGGACCTGCGGTTGAAAAGGATCCTACAAGGAGCAGGTAAGAACCCCCTGATAATCCTTCATGTGTGAACGAATGATACGACTAGGTTCTCGTTAGAGAGGATCAAGGGAGATTATGCCAGGCAAGGGAAGACGCTCAAGGAGATTGAGGCTCAT